AATTGGAATAACCAATGAAAATTAATAATCTAAATTCCAGCATTTGTGTATCATTCCAGAAACTACAAACAAGTATGCTGTGATTCCAAGATATCTTTCTGGCTTAGGCATTAGAGGGTAGAGATAGAGGACCTGTGACAGAGGATTTGCTATTTATTTGCAAAGTTGGTGGGTAGTCTTGATGCATAAAAGTCTTCATGTAGAAGAAAGGAGACTTGCAACCTCTTCCTATCTTTTCTACATACGCCTTAAAAAAAACTGTGTGTCCCTGTCCATGGGGAAAGTCATAGTCTGGGCTGAGGAAACAGCTATTCAGGCTACAGGCAGTTAGCATGGACATAGACAGAAAATGCCTTTACTGTGGACTAATTGCCCTTCTGGTAGGTTTGGGGAATCCTTGATTCATTTGACAACTTAATTCTTGGTGAAAGGCAGTTGTCTCTGTGCCTTATAAACAAGATTCTAGAGAGGGAATCTCCTGGAAACCTATTTAATGACTAAAAGAGAGACTCTTCCAGCAAGACAGTACTAGGGTTGCTCCCTTCTTCTTCAGATCTTTTTTTGAAAGAGAAAATTAGTACCAGCCTTCCCACTTTTCCTCTCCTGTGTGCCGGCTATTTTCTGGAGCGATAGACGAAGGCTTAGAAGAAGACTCTACTACCTGCAGGCAGCATGAACCTCTGAGCACATTCCTATTGCTGTTCTATTTTCTTTACCTTTTCTTTTCTTTACCTCTTTCTGCTTTGTCTCGCTTATCAACTGGGCTACCCTTGAGCATTGTCTCATGATTAGCCTCAATGGGGTGCAAAGCCATATCATACTTCCTCACTGGAAAAGGAAAAAAAGAAGATACACAGGCTCCTGGCCTCAGCACCTAGGATCAGATCATATCCATCTACTTTCCCTCTCTTTCTCATTCCCTTTTTCTTCTTCTCCATGTCCCTAGGATCATTTAAATTATAACAGTTTCAAGTGTGAGAAGAGAAAGGAACAAGAGTGGAATAGATTCAGGGAGAGCAGAGAGCTAGTATGAAGGCAGCCAATGAATCCTCTTCCTTATAATTAACACTATCCTCATATAATGGTTGTCAATTAATAGAAAGTTGTTGGAAATCTGATGTTGTTCCATACGTCAAGTCATGAAGCAGACACAGTTATCATTTAGCTAGTAACAGAGGTGTCAAATGAAAGATCACACCAATACACTACTCCATATATACTATTTGGAAACTTGAAGAATAATTTTTGAAATAAAATATGCTACAAATAATATGACCAAGAAATTCATATCACATATTAGTAGCTTCCTTGAAAAATAAAAGGTATTGTCATATTTAATATTTGACTTAAAAGTTATATTATTGCATTACTTGAATATTTTGAATATTACTTTCTGCCACTTTTTGACTATTATTTAAGTTGATGAGGGCGTTCTAGATGCCTGGAAATTGCTTCTTCACTTACTAGTGCAGTGAATAAAACACTGGTAAAGCTTTAGTAATCCTGTCTTTGTATTTTCTTTTAACATATGTATTGGAGTAGTTACCAAGGGGATAGTTATCATCGACTACATTTTAGAAGTGGAAAACAGTGGATTTCTGGAAAATCAAACTTGTATTTGTGAGTTTAAATAATTTTGAATTGCCACAGGGATTTCATCCTCCATCACTCAAATAATTCCTCTCATATTATCTCCCTCAGTAAGATAAGCCTCATTAATTTCAAGAAGCCCCAAATACTTACCTCCTGACTCAGAAATTAGTCATTGAGTCATGGAATATTATGATCATAGTAAGGTGAATAATGGTTCACAGAATGTCTATGATCTAATCCCCAGAACCTGTGAGTGACTTCATGTGGCAAAAGAAAATTTGCAAATGTGATTAAGTTAAAAGTATTTAGACACGGAGATTAGCCAGGTGGGTCCTTAAATGAAATCACAAGTTACCTTGTAAACAGGAGGCAGAGAGAAATTTGACTACAGAGAGGGAAGGTGATATGAAGATGGAGAGAGAGATTGGAAGATGCTTTGCTGCCTGCCTTGAAGATGAAAGACAGCCCTATGAGCCAAGATTTACAATGAATATAGCTCTGGGAGTTGGAAAAGGCCAAGGAATAGATTCTCCTCTAGAGCCTCATGAGGGAGCATAGCCTTACCAACACCTTGATTTCAGCTCAGTGAAACTCATTTCAGACTTCCAACCTCAGAACTGTAAAAGATAGACATGAGGTTTTTAGTTCAAAGTTGGTGGTAATTTGACAGCAGTCATAGGAAACTAACAGAGTGATGTACAAAAGAGCTCTGAGAAAAACCTTACTTGGTCAGGCAGAGACCTAACTGCATTCTGAGATGAAATCTCAGATTAAATCTGAGAACAAAATCTCAAGGTTACCAATTTCAAGTTAACTAACCAGACATTCGTGAGATATCAGGATTCCTCAGAAGCAGGGGAAGAGAGGAAGAGGGGAGCTCTTTGGGTCATATATACTTACTAGACAAATACCACATTGGCTGACACCCTTGTAACTCCAGGAAATCCAGTTAAAAAACTGGAAATCTTCAATCAAACTAGTGACTTGGAGAAAAGGACATGAGTCTCACAAGGCAGGCAGAGCATTTATAGCTCCATTAAAGGCTACTAAATTATATGACTCAAGAAAATCACTGGGAATCTATTCAGACAAGAATTCCATTTCTGTGGTTTTAACCACAAAACCTCTGTGGATCTTAGACTGCACAGCAACTATGGAATCCACTCTCACATTTTGAAGCCCCAAATATTTCTCTTGCAAAATGGACTCAAGTAAAAACTATGAAATAGTCAATATTTTGCATGTTGTCTTGCAAACCCAGCCCTCAGAGTCTCCCTATGTTGAACCTCTGGTTTATTTTTAGATTACATAATTCCTTTCACAAAGCAGTAGCAGAGTTAAATGAGCAATGATCTCTGAGTCAAGAGTTTAATGCTCTCTGATCAGGCATGAGAAGAAAATTGAAAAGAAAGTTAAAATGTTGGAATAATGAAAGAATGCCAAGTAGGCTTTAAATTTGATCCTCAGAGTGTCCTTGAAATCAGAAATGTAACACCCATGACAATTTTTTAAGGATTTTCTAATGTTTTGCTTCTAGTTTTCTTATTTGACTCACTTGACTCACAACAGTGGGACAAAAGAAAGTATCATCTGCTGGGCTTTAAAGCACAAAAAGTAGATAGATAACCTGTAAATTTCCTGGTGGTTTCTAAGACATGATAGCACCTATAGTTTCTTCTGACTCCCAGACATAAAATCGAGTATCCTATAAATGCAAATATTTCTCTAAAGAGTAACATGCACATTTAAACTAAATGATTAGCAAGGGTTCTATCTGGGATATAATTATGTAATTGTCCTTGGCATGTGAATACAGACACAGTGATTCAATGTCAAGGAGCAGTATAATACAATGGATAAGAATACTAGTGAGAGGCTAGACAGCCAATGTTTGAATCTGAGGCCTCATTTCTGGCTGCGTAACTTAGGGAAATATACTTAATTTTTCTGAACTTCATTTCACTAACCCTTAAAATGATAATAATAGTACCTACTTCCTACGGCTGTTTTGAAAAAAGTGTGTGTGTGTGTGCATGTGTGTGTGTGTGTGTGTAAAATGCATGTAAAAGTGCTTTGTACAGAGCTTGGAAGACATTAAGTGCTCAATTAATATAAGCTACTTTTAGAGGACGTAGAAGCCAATACGAATATGAATTGAAATACTTTATTAAATTACAATTTTTCATCTTCTGGCTTGACAAATAACTACTCAAGAACAAACTAATGAGACAGATATGAAACTCATTACTAAAGAAAAAATTATGCAAAATAAATGCAACTTGGTTTTTTTTAAATTACAGGTATTGATCGACTTACAACCTATGCAACTTATGACCATTTGACTTTATGACCACAATCGCTAGCCACGACTGCTCCACTGCAGATTTTTGGAAACACTACAACATTTTGATGTGTATCAAGAATATCGCTACCGCCTTGGAGGCTGTGACGACAAAGTGCATGAATGGCATCTGGAAAAATTGTGTTAAGTGCTATGTTAATGATTTTGATGCATTTGACAGTGAACATAAACTTGAAACGATTCGGGGGAAAAAATAGTAAAACAATCGCTAAAGACCTTTCTTTGGAGTGTGAAATGGAAGATGTCGAAGAGTTGCTAGACAAAGAATCCGGAGAATTTACAAATGAAGAGCTAATCGAACTGGAAGAAGAAAGAGTGGCGGAAGAAGAAAGAAGAGAAGCAGAGAAAGAAGAGGAGGAGCCAGAAAGAAAGTTCACCACTAAGGGATTACCAGACGGTTTATCTTTACTGAATAAACTTCTTATACATTTCGAAGCAATGGACCCAAACATCGAACGATTTGCAAGGATTGAACAGATGGCGCACGATGTGTTTCATCCGTATCGTGAAATTTATGAAGAAAAAAAGAAACATACAACTCAGACAAAGCTCACCATGTTTATGAAAAAACTAACTCTGGTAACCCCAACTGCTGCCTCAGATGACAACATCAACGATCCGCAGCCAAGCACCAGCGGCCAATAAAATGTTTCGTACGTTTATATATTTTGACATGTTTTCCAACTGGGAAAAAGTTTCCTATGGTATTTTTTACACCTGTATTTTGTATTTTTGTATGCACCTGTATCTTGTAATTTTGTATGTTTTGCAAATATTGAACCAGTTGTACTAGTAATGCAGTGTTTTACTTAAATGTGACAAATGTAAAAATAAGAAACAAAATGGTGTAGAGATGATACAAATGGCATAAAATGAACAAAGAAAATTATGATAAAATATGACTTAAAGATTTTTATAACATCATTTCACAGTACTGTACATATAGCCTACTCAACTTACGGCCAAATCGTGTTACGACTGGCCTATCGGAACCAATCGTGGTCGTAAGTCTCGAGCCACTAGCTGTGTAGAAACAACGTCCATATATTTTGAACATCAAATGGATCAAAGGATATTACAAGAGAAAGTGTTTTCTTGCAGTCACACATAGGTGTGTAATACTCTCCTAATTTGACTCTGTGCTTTACTTCTTATTACTCTACCAGAATTTTTCCACTTACCAGCCAGACTGAGTACTAAAAATATTATGTCATGTCATTTCCTTGCTTAAAACACTTCAATGGTTTTCCATCACAGTTAAATAAAATACAAACTTCTTATTGGTATTACAAAGTGCTACTGTTCAATCCTAATAAAGTGGCCCCTGTGTCTTTCTCGGAGTTTATCTCTCTATTCTCCCCTAAGTTCCAGTGGCTTTCTCCCTGTGGAGGGAACAAGGCTCATTACTGCCTTAGATCCTTCACACTGATTCCTCTGCTTAGAATGCACATCCTCCCAAACTCTGCCTAGTTATATCTCTTTTTCATTCAGGTCTTGGATAAAACCAGCTTACTGAATGAGAACTTGGTGGACCACACAATCTCACGTAGCCACTCAGTTGTTCTCTGTTACTTCAATTTATTAAGTCTCTCTGTAGAATTTATTTTGCTTAGCAAATAACATCGTTGTATAATTTTCTTTTCTGTTTGCTTCTTTGTATCTATTTATAATATTTATTTATATAATAACTAACTTCCCCATGTTCTAGAACAGAAGTTCCATAAGAGCAAGACTTAGTCTTGTTCACTCTTGTGTTTATTTCACCTAGAAAAATACTGAAACATATTAAATGGTTAATAATGCTTAATAAATTGTTAAAAGATAAATGAAAAGAAAATATGGTTATTTAGGTCCAAGTAATTTCAAAATGGTTGTTAACACTATCCTTGTGCATATATCCTGTACATGTCCAATTAAATGCCAAAAGTTTAATTATTGAGTTAAAAGTATGTGCAAATTTAAACTTTGATAGTTATTTCCAAATTGTCTATGAACAAAGTCATATGAATTTACGTTTTAAGTGAATTCCTTGAGTCTTCTTTTAAGTGAAATTATGACATGATATTTGAGACACATTCTGTCAACTTCGAAGCCCTGTGTACTTTATAATTCCATAACCTTAAAATGCAAACAGGACAGCTGAAGTCTGACAGGTCTTCTGAATGAAATGGCTGCAGAATTCATGCCTACTGTGACTCACCAATTAGACGATTGGCTATGAGAGGCATGTGTGATTCACTTTCAAAGGTCTTTCATTTTCTGGGAGTCCTGTGCATGTGTTCTTAGCAATAAAGAGAAATCTTACTAATCAACATTAATAATGACGTTTTTCAAGTATGCAAAAAGTAATTTGCAATAAAACAAACATTTTATTTCGTAAGGATTGAATCGAAACACAGAAAAACATATTGGTGAAACAGGCACCCTATTCTGAAAGATCCTCAAATTCCATGAATTAATTTTTCCCCTCTAGAGGTTTATTTTCCTGGCCCTTTGAGTCATCTAAGCCAACAACCTCAGATGTCTGTGTAACAGTAACTGGAAAATACCCTACTGATGAATCTATTTCCACATATTTATGTCTGTATAAATAAGTCAACGAGGTCACTGATGAAAGTGGGGACATTCAGGATCTCCCCCTCACTGGTTTCTCTATGCCATTTTGAAAGACACCCTGTCTCAGCACAAAAGCAACCAACTAAATTCGTATGCAACAGTCAGAAGGAAACCAGAAGAATAAAACTAGAGATAGACGTGCATCCATTCTCTACACCAACACTACATCTTAGAAATAACTTCTAGTGCAATATCAGTTTTCAGCGACAACCATCCAAACACATGTTACTTAAACACTTAAAAGACTTTTTAAAATTCTTATCTCTTTTACTCAAGAGCAGCACATTCTTACCTTAGAAGAGTTATAGTATTAGAAAAACAGCCCAATTAATAGATACCCACTCTAGATTCAACATGTAACTGCATAAACATCCAATTTTCAAAATACAGAGAAATGAGGTACTTACAGCAGGGTGTCCAGTACAGTAGGTATAGCTGGCATGGGACTGGTAGTGCAGGCTTGCTCTTGGAAAGGAGTAGGTATTCCAGGCTGGCTGGCTGCTGTTCCACTGGGAGCTGAAGCCAGGGCTCATGGTCACTCGTGACTTACTAGTTTGATAGGCTCTCACTGTAGAGCTAGACTATCAAAAAGAAAGAAATTCAATGTGAAGATAGCTCTTTATTATATCTGAACCAGCAATATACCATAGCATGCATTCTCATTATGACCACGGCACAGGACTTAGCTGATTAAGAGAAATGGCTGATGGCTTAAGAGGATGCCTCAAATACTGTTCAAATACTACATCAAATGCTGTTCTGACTAGGATAAAAGTACTTTCTCACTATTCGAATTTTGAGTGGATCACAAAACACAAAGCTCTTTGAAATTGATCTTATTGAAAACTTTTTTTTTCTAGCTGCAAGATGCAACTCCAGCCTTCAGAAATGAGATACGTTTTAGCAGTGACAGTGACAGTGATATTTTCAATTAAATAAACGACCTTTCATCATAGTGTTCACCCCAGAAATTCACCATTAGATTTATCTGAAGGCAGTAAACAAAAATCTTCATTTACAAGGACTGGATTAAGGCACAGGTTGGTTTTCAACTCCAAATAAGCCTTAAATTCCATGAGTCTATTGCTGTCCTGGGAGACATTAGCAGGAATCTGGACACATTTATACAGCTCACCATTCTGCTTTCTAAAGACAGTAAAATGGTGAAGGATTCGAAATCATCATTCACCCCCAACCTGCTCTACCAACATAACTGAAAATAGAGGAGTAGGAAAATATGAACTTTTTACAAGTTAAATATATCTGGTTGCTCATAACTGTGCACAGGGTAGAATTCACTGAAAACAAAACTCACTTGTATCTTCTGTCCTTCTTTGTCCTCAGATGGCCATGGCATATAAGGCATATAATAGTTTCTTTTCAGAGAACACTTTCTTCCTCAAATTGCAATAGGCACTTACCCCAGTAGCACAGTAACTTTCACAATAAATTCTATTTATAAATCTCTGGGCACATGCCAACTCAATCACTGGGAAAATGTGCTAATCGCATTGCCATTATATTCAGGAAACCCAGTGGGGAAGAAACTTTTGTCCATGATTGTGTTTCCCATTGGGGTAGATTCTGATACCATTAAATACGTAGAAGACCAATTTTCTGAAGACAAGTTTGAGTATCTTGGAATAACCAAAAGAAAGCAAAAAACTCAGCGATGTAAATGCTCTAAGCAGGCCGTTTCTCTCACAATGACCATAAAAGTATTTGGAAAGTGAAAATAAAATTAAAGTCTGTGATTTAATAGTAGTTAATAATTTAAAATATTTAAACCAAAAACTGGAGAACACAGCCTTGTGAAGATAGCCACATTTATTTGGTGGTCTGTCTTTCTCCATGAACATTCTCCATCACCACCCTACCATGTATGCTGTCCACATGGTTCAATAGTTCAATAGTTCAATGAGGTACAGTATGACAAAGGTAGGCATATTGCACACCTCCGCAGGACAAACCTCTGTTGGAAGTAACAGTAGACTTTTATAAAAATAGACATTTGTGGTTTGTTCGAAGTACGTAAGCTGTGTATTTATGTAAAAATCCCTGTTATTTGTATGCCATACACAATCACTTCAAAGAATAAATGAGCCCAACCTACAAAATTTACCTTTAGCCCTGAAAGATTTCACTTCCCCACAGTTTATTTTCATTTACTTTTGTTATGTTATGATCACCTTTAAAATCAGTTTCCTCAAAGACAGAACAACTTTGACTCATTTATCTCTCCTTCAACTGCCATTATCAGTGTCACCAAATTCTACTGTATTTATCTAAGAGTTCTTGAATGTATGTTGTACTTTTCATTCCCATTATCACTAACCATTTTTCAGGATTTACGTCAGAGCCACTAAAACTGAATCAAGAACCTTCTACGTTAAGCCTCAGTTGACTCAGCACGATAACACTAGATCTGTCTTTCTAAAAGCATGCTTTTATTTTATGACTACTCCTAGCCGAAAATATTCAGTGCCTCTCTACCATCTACTAGATGACATCAATACTTCTTAGTCTCTCATTTGAGAGTCTAATTTCATTCTGACATCGCAAAGTTTATTTTTTGTTCATTTCCATATAACTTCAACATCCAGACAGAGTGCTGCTCCAGATAGTTTGTTACTCCAAATGACTTACATGCTCATGCCACTGTCACAGTCATCACATCCTAAGATGTCTTCACCTCCTCTCAATTCACACTTCAATGAAGTTGCCAGACTCAAACTTCTGTGAACCTATTCCAACAGCCTCAGCCACCAGCCCCCAGGCAATTTTGTTTCTACAAGGCACTGACATTACTGATTTTCTGCCAGATTCATGTGATCTTTTCCTCTTTGTGGCTACCCAGGAAATTAACATCGTAATATCATCAGCACAACTCACCAAATTTCTTAATTAGCCTTTCATACTACAACTCTAACATCCCAACACACATCTGTCAGAATAGGTGCCTTATTAGTCTTTCTTAGGAAGCATATCACAACAAAAGAACTTCTGTACCAGTAGTTCATTTTGGAAATGATCGCAGAGAAAATCAGTAGGATAAATCAGTAGGGATAAAGAGTGAGCCAGTCAGTTTGCATCACTGAGTAAGTTATTCCTGTGGAGAACTGAGGCTCACTTCCACTTAGGACTCTGGGAGACAGGGTAGAGCATGCCATGGAGTTATTCCACTCAACATGTGAGGAAGCTGAAGGATCTCACCTCCAGTTCTCATTTGCATTGGCCAAGGGCTGCTCCTTGAAGCGTTAATTTCTTGGCACTTCTGGCCTATGCCACATACAGGCCAAAAAAAGCTCTCAAGTACAGTGTCCCAGGACACTGTTGACATGCTCTAGAAAAGTAAGTGCCAAGAAGGCATGAGCCAAGTATTGATAGTATCTGCTACTAAATGGATGACTCCCTGAACATTTTTGTATCTGTGATAGAACTCCAGACGCTCACATTTTTATTCTGGGTGACTGAATGCCAGGGCTCAAAAACATTGGTAAATGGGCCCGACCACACTGCCATTACAGACTTGCAAATGGAAAACACAGAGGAAGATATTGCAATGACCAGCAGAAAAAATATAAGATGCTCAAAACCATTAGTCACCCAGAAAATGAAAAATGAAGCTGCAATAATATACAAGTTCATACCCACAAGAATGGCTAAAACTAGAAAGACTGATAACACTAAATGCTGATTAGTTATTACAGACCTAAACTTCCCATATATCATTTGTGGCTGGGTCAAACGATGCAGCTACTTTGAAGAAATGTTGGGGAGCATTTAATAAAATTAAACAAGCCAAGCACGGTGGCTCATGCCTGTAATCCTAGCACTTTGGGAAGCCAAGGGGGATGAATCACTTGAGGTCAGAAGTTCAAAACCAGCCTGGTCAACATGGCGAAACCCTGTCTCTACCAAAAAACACAAAAAAATTAGCCAGGCATGGCAGCGGGTACCTATAATTTCAGTTACTTGGAAGGCTGAGGCAGGAGAATTGCTTAAACCTAGGAGGCAGAGGTTACAGTGAGCTGAAATTGTGCCACTGCACTATAGCCTGGGTGACAGAGTGAAACTCTGGCTTAATATAAATAAATTAAAATGTAAAAAAAAAACATAAACATATTTCTACCTGTGACCCAACAATCCCACCCCTGTTATTTACCCAAAAGAAAAAATATATACACCAAAACATTTTATAAGAATATGAATAGCAGCTTTATTCATAGCAGGCCCAAACTGGAAATGGCCCACTGTCTATCAACAGGAGATTGGATTAAAAAATTGGAGTCCATTTATATAATGAAATACTCTTCAGATATCAAAAATAAACTTCTGATATATACAGAGACATGGATGAATCTCAAAATCGTGCCAAATAAAAGAAGAAAGGAACAGAAAAATAGATGTTATTTATTTATATGAGGTCCAAGATGAGGAGAATATATACAGTCTTAGGAATCAGAAAGTGATTGCTGGGGCAGTTGGGGAGTCAAGCAAGGAGCGTAAGGTAATACTCTAGAGTGATAGAAATGTGTGCTACCTTATTTTTTGGGTACTCATTACAAGAATGCATATACTTACCAGAGTTCATCAAATTGAACACTTGAGATCTTTGCATTTTATTATGTCTTAATTATATTTCCATTAAAAAAATATATACTGCTATTGCAAAAGACTGATTCTGAATTTTCCACGATAAGAAAGGTGAGCGATGGCTCTGAAACTGAAACCCAGTGGTCCCCAAATTCTAATTTTCTAGACTCCATAATTGGCTAATCTGAGTTCCACTATCTTTCCCCTCCTTGGCACGACCTCTGAGAGCAATGCCAGGGAGCATCTAACAGCCAAAAGGCAGGCAGCCAGAAAGAAGAGCAAAGAGTCTGGATAAAGAGCCTCTGAATAACCAAGAGCTGGCAGCATTATCCGGCGTCTGCCAACAGATCAGGGGTCAGGGCTGTTGGAGCAGGAAGAAATGGAGCACAGCACAAAAGAAGAGTCCTCTTACATGCTTCCCGAAATTACAGAGCTCCAGGGAACACTTGCTGCTCTATCTACTCAGTCAGCACTAGCAAACAAAAGAAAGAAAGGGAGGGGTAGAAGGAAGCTAAACTAAGGAAAGAAAATGGAATGAGGAGGCAGAAAATAACCAATACTGTAAGATTCCTAGGCACAATTTAATAAGCGCTAGAGGGAAATAATAACAGCTAACACTTACATGCAACCTACTGTCTATCAAATACTGTTTCAAGTGCTTTATATTTATACTGTAGTGACTTGTGTATTCCTCACAACGTTAAGAATTTGTTATTATTACACTCTGCATTTTGTAGGTGAGGAAACGGACGAAGAAAGAAATAAATTTTAAATTTAAGATCATATTAACTACTAAACTGCTGAGTTGGGATTCAAATCCAGGCAGGGGCTTCTTTCCTGGATTGGAATCCACGCTCTCAAATATTCTGCTATAATGCTGCTTAGCTTGGGTTCTTCCAAAGCAGATTCTAAAGCAAAGGCTGGGTTGGGTTTGTTTGTTTGGGAGGTGGAGGCAGGGAGAGGTAATCCCAAAAAGCAAATGAGA